TGTCTTTCACTTTGCGTGTAATTTCGCATTGTTCTGCCAAAATGGGCGGATTTGCGAGAAAACTCGTAGAAAGTCTGAAATTCTCGTTTTTCTCGGCAGTGATTATAAAAGACTCGTGCGTTAAGATACCGTCCAAACCTATAAACTAATTTCTACTACTCTATTCTTTTCTGTACACCTCGAACATCATCTGGGGTACTTCGTCCCTGTGCCATCTCATGTACACGTGTAATTCAGATAGACGTTGTTTTCCACCAAAGTGAAGAGTCAGAAGAGACTGGCGTGCATGCTAGACCATACTCGTATCTTTATGTGAGTGTGTCATTTTCTTCAGAAGTGCAATAATCAATGAGCGGGTATCGTTCAGGAGTCCGTGCAGCTATCAATCCGGAATCCTCAGGAGGAGCATGAGTGTTCCAGTGCACAAAGTGATACGTTCACTTCTTCGCAACCATGTGTGGCGCAGGGCGATGCCGAAAACTTGAATCTTCTTCGACCGACTATAAAAGAAGATCCCGAGGAAGATGATCTTCCGCAACCAACAGAAAGCTCGCTCGTCGATTCGATGGAACACGAGATCTCACAACAGGAGATTTTTTTGGATTCTCCTTCTTGCAGTCGTGTGCTGAATCTCAATCACAGTGAAGAACTTGCAGCTTCTGATTTGCCGGATGTTTGCGGAATAGAGGCAGAGTATAACGTCTCTGAATCGCAAAAGGATTCGCAAACGCCGAAGTTTTTAAAATGCCCCGAGAGCCTCCAGTTACCAAAATCTGAGTTCTCTGTTGAGAACGAGTTGGAAGAGGTGAGTATTACTGTATTTGTTCGTCGATGTCGATATTTCTGAAATCGAGCTATACTTTTTCATATGATTTGAAAAAATTTTTCAGGGAGAAATTGTGAGTGCCGAAAATTCTAGAGAAGCTACTGACGTCAGCAACAAAGGACGAGGCGCGAAAAATAACCGCGAACGCTGTTCGAAATCTCAAACAAAGTTTCCCGAGACTTCGAATGAAAATGGATCAAAAGCGAGTACGAGAAAATCTTCAAGGCACAATCCAGATAGAATTCATGAAAATACGTTAGAAGGAGCCTTGCGCACTCATGGCAGAAGTTCCGCAAAGCCTGATAAGCGCGATATTCGCGTACAACGTCGAAGGAAGTCTTCCGATTGTGACTGGGTTCCTGAGAAAGTTCAAGCGCAGAAGCGGATGAAGAAAGACGCACATGGTACTCGAAAAGAGTCTCTTCGAAGGTTGAGCAGCAGAACGCAGCACAGAGAAAGTTCCACATTGAAGTCTAGCAGAAGCATAGAGAAAACATGTCGAAGTT